CGGGGGCGGAGGCTTTGCCTTGTTGCTTGCCAGGGATGCTAAGCAGGAAAAGGAACTAAGGCATTTGCCGGAACAAGATTCAAATTTTGACGTCAAAGTATACAACTGGAACATCTTCTTAGATAATTAATTAGGAGGTGTGTTATAATGCTTTAGATTGGTTTTTTAATGTATACTATGATACCAAACTGACACAACCCGACCCAGAGTGTCCACTTAGACATCCGAATTGCGATGTGCTGGCCGACATCAAGAAGGTAACGAAGCCATAAAATGTAGTGATGTGGAAAATGTGAATAAATTAAAACCTAAAAGTGCCTAATTTAGAATGCGTATGTGAGCGGGGATTGAACCCATATCACACAAGTGATGTTGGGGCATAGATAAAATGCAATAAAAGAAGAGTAATGACATTTATACCGAAATGAGAAGTCTCCTACATAGCAACTTTTTCCAACAATCCTCGTAGTCACGAAACCTCTGCCACTAAAATCTTGGAGAGGCAAAAAACAAAGGTGAGTGGGCCTGAAAATAAAATTTTGTAAAACCTTTTCGAAAAGTGTAACCCTTCACTGTACCGGATTATTGTCTTCCTCTACAACACATGCTAAAAAGTCTTCACAACTTTTCTCGATAAATGTTTCGCCTTTACAGCAGGGATTAATTTGTGCTTCAGTTTTTTATGTTTGCCAATGGGGCTAACATAGGGATGATAGGTTGTCGAGAAATGACTACTTTCGGTCCATGCTCTACCAAAGGAATAATAATAATGTAGTCGATCCATCTCTTGGATTACGTGGAATTCCACGATATCCAACAAAATAAGATTAACTGGCATTATCACATTGGTAATGGAAACAGTGTAATCACTGCATTCACATTGGCATAACAGACTTGCCTTGTGGCATTGGAATTGTTGAGATGTACCCGACTAAGGTACCATGTGATTGAAGTATTTGAAGAAACCAGGGTAAGATGACTGACTGGTGGTTTAGGTCGTTGACATGACTACGAGTTTGCTGTTCTCCTATATGGCTTGTTTCTAAGTTTCTATGATTATGGTTCCGTTGGCTTTAATTGTCTTGATAAATATGTATGTCAGTGGTGCCACTACCTAATGTTTCTATGGTATTTTAGTAATGTCTGCCTCCATGGAATAGTGAACCGGTGTCCTGGCAATGGTATGATATCCATATATCGCACTGCACTTTCAATATAAAGATATCATACCGCCTGAATACTGGTTCATAACTCCCAGATACAGGATAATCTTGTTCTAGTAACAATTAGCATCACCTAGGCTGGTTACTACCTGAGGGATGGTCGGAAGGGTAAGTAAGATTTTCTAGGAAGACTGCTCCTATGGGATGATTTTGTCGCTTTTGGGAACACTGACTACTACTTTCGGTATGTAATTATTGAAACTAGTGTTTGTGAAACTACCCTAAGCTCCAGAATGGGAATTGTGGTTAACTTTCCCTTAGAATGGGATTTGGCAAAATTCGATCTTCCTCCTGCAGATTCGGAATCATAACTATTATGTTTGAAAGATTGACGTTGTCGGGGACTAAATGTGACTATCCCCCAAATGTGCAACCACATCAACACTAACATAGTCACTCGAGACATTTTCGGGAACATCAAGGTGAAGCAAAACCTCGAGGAAAATTTGGAAGGTGGCACAAAAAATCAGGATTACCAAGGATAAGAGTGCTTGTGATTTCCTAACAAAGAAAGGTGGTACCAATGGTTGTTCGTACATGCAGTCCACGGTCAAATTCTCTCATATCCATCCGGATATAAGGAGTGACTGTAACAACTCGAACGATTTCTTTCTTCCATCGCTGCCATCAATACCACAGTCTGCAGCTTGCAATACTGGCAACCGAATGCTGTCTCGATAAACAAGTAATGGAACTACGAGAGTGCAAAATTACCATTTTGCCCCTCATTGGGAAAAGTGCATACATCGTGCGATTTACACCTCATACAGAAAACGTACTACCTAGAAAGACGTGAAAATGAACAAAGAGTAATAAGAACTCAGATGTACACGCTTGAAATCCGCGTAGGATTTCCACTTAGCCGGTCAAGGGTGTTTTGAAATTTTCTAGCGTTAGGGAATAAAATAAAAATAAATGTGGGACAGGATTCTACCAATTGGTCTAGAGGGTGTTCTCGTGGACCAACAGAAGATTGACACCCAAGTAAATTGGTTGATAATCACCGAAACATCATCATAGTCTCCACTTCACATGGTTCCAACTGTTGGAAGGCATAAACGGTCAACCTACCATGCCGCAAAGCACGCAGCTAGATCATTTTGTGAAGTATCTTCGTAAATTTCGAAATTAATAGAGTAATACTAGGTAGACCAAAATTTTTAAACCAAATTTGTAAACTAAATGATGTGATTGTAGATTATTTGATTATTAATTAAGTGTCTATTAACGTGCTTATATTGGTGACACAACGTTTGGTTTCCCTAGCATTACTCTAATTAATATTATTTAAAATTAATCACAACAAGTGGCCCAGTGGTAAGAGCACGGACTGTGGCTCCCCAATAACAAAAAAATTTGGGAGGTTCCGAGTTCGGTGATCCGAACTAGTGAGTCTGCTTGATTATAGCCACGAGCAGGGTGAAATTCCTCATAACCTTTTTAAGCCAAGAAGAGGGAAGTTTGCTTGACTGTGGCCACGGGCAAGATGAACTTCTCCATAGACTTTGCAAGCTAGGAAGACATGGATAACTATGACTTGCCACAAATTGTCCTTCTTTTTGAAAAAAATAAATATATTAATTTAAAATTACGTACAATAATTACTGGATATAAGTTTCAGGTGGTTTATTAGTTTGAAAATAATTCACATTTGTATTTGCATGGAAATAAATAAAATAAATTCATACTTAAAAATCGTAATATCACAATGCATTTAATCCTTTTAAATACATTGTATTTTCTTTTTAATTTAAGGTTATCAAGTGGCAAAAGAGCAAAAGGAAAAAAAGGGGAAAATATGGGAAAAGAGAGAACAAAAGAAAGCCAAGTGGCAAAATCAAATCATGAACATGAAACAAGCACAACGTGGAACTGTGGCAAAGAATCCAAAGCGTTCGACATTCTTTGCTTTTTTCCCGTAAATTGCGTTGGAACAAAATAAAAACACGAGAAACTATTGAGTCTGACCGTTACGAGATTAAATGCTTTGTTTTTATTTTGTGTGTGTTGTTTTGTGGTCTTTATCATTAAACGACATATGTTTAGTTTATGATAACAAAGTTAAGAAAGATTAAGCTTATTAACACGTGTCAATTAATGATAAAAGTCAAAGAGAAACCACATATAAAATGAATATAGAAGATTTGAATTCGACGATTACATTATGATAAGATAATGGAAATTCAACTTAAATAACTATAAATATATATAGGAAAGTGATTTTTACACGTAAGTGGAGTCACAATAACACGTAATAGTGTGACTGTCACACCCAAAAATAAAATAAATAAATCACCAAACTATAAGAATTTGATTGTTGATAGGTGACACAAGAAAAAGAGAATGACAAGAATAAAATTATGAAGTGGAGCCACCACAAAGTCCTTTTTTTATTCTATTGCAATTTCCACTTGTGTGTTTCTCAAAAGACCCATAAGACCCAACTCCTAACACACAAATACTAAGAGAATGAAATAAAAAGGGGGTCATCATCCTCCATCTCAAATTCGCAAGTGATCATTTATCATAATAGTAGAAAAGTACTGAGTATTTGCATGATGGTATGGATTTGAATTATGTCGATGATTAATTTAATATCTAATTTAACAAAATTTATCATTTGACAAAAAAAACAATCCTTCATCTCAAATTCATCATCAAAGTTGGTCATGATTATTCATGACCCAGAAAATTAAAATCCAAAAATGTGTTATATTGATGTTGTATAAATTTTAAGAAAATTGGTAAAAAGGTCGTTTAATCGCTGCTTTGGTGAGCCAATCATTTTGGGAAATTTGGAAAAGTAACCATGTTTTAGATCCCATATAGAATTATAACCATTATTTTAGTTTTATGATAATTCTAACCAAAACTTGATGTAAAAGTACTAATATACCCTTAATGACAAAAAAAATCCCCATTGCTCTTAACCATGAAAAAACAACAATTAATTGAGATCTTGAAGCATAAAAGAGGTAGCCTCTTGAATACTATATATATATATATATATATATAGTAGATATTGATATTCAAATGTAATTAGAGAACATGAAAAATGAAGAGAACCTAGTAAAATAAACATAAAACCATGAGAAAAGGTCAGAAACTAGATGGTTGCGAGAGAGTTTAAATGAGAGTTTGTTTTTGTTGTGAGAAACCTTAATATTAAGGATATATTAGTACTTTTACATCAGTTTTGATTATAATTATCATAAAACTAAAATAATGATTATAATTATATATAAGGTCTAAAATATGATTACTTTCCCAAATTTCCCAATCCTTTTATGCGGCAGCACCCATTAATTTTAAATTTATTTTTATTTAGATTCTCATCGTTTGGCATTTCATTTGTGCGTCAGTCCAGTCAGGGCTGGTTTGGTATTGCTGTGCTTTGAAAAAAAGTTGTTGTGAGAATAAGCGGCTGTGCTGTAAGAATAAGCGGCTGTGCTGTAAATCAGCAGAGTGTTTGGTAAACTTTTTTGTAAAAGTGCTTTTGGAAAAAGAAAAGTCTGATAGTGAGTCTTTTCATTAAAGGAGCACGGTAGCTCCGTGTGCTTTGAAAAAAAGCCAGTTTTCCAAAGCTACAAATAGCAGCTTCAACTTTTTCCTTTGATTTCAGCTTATTCTCACAGCAGCTTCCAAAATAAGCCATTTTTTTTAATTTACCAAACATCTAAAACCCTCACAGCTTTTTTTAATGGGTGTTTTTTTTTAAGCACCATACTCCCAAACCACCTTATCTACATTTTTTATACACGCAAGCGGTTTGCTTTTGCTTATGGTGTAATTGCAGAAGACCAGAAGACGAAGCAGTCTAGAGAGAGAAAGTGAGGAGCAAGAGAGAGATGGGTCTGCTGACGAACAGAGTGGAGAGAAATAAGGTCAAGCCAGGAGACCACATCTACACCTACAGAGCCGTCTTTGCCTACTCTCACCACGGTTCTCTCCCTCTCTCTCGTTTTGTTATTTTATTTTAATTTAATTTCTGGGTATTTATATATATGCGCTTTTTGAAGGATTACTTAATGTGGGTTCATGGAGTGATGGGATTTCTGGGTTTTTGGCATTTCTTTCATTTGTTTGTTTAATTCTACTTTCGGGGTTCAATTGTCAGCTGAATTATTGCATCTTTTTTCTTTGAATTTTAAGTTTCTTTGCTTGCAAGTTTATGGTTGTGGATTCCTTGATTAATGCCTCCCACCAGTCCAAAAAACAAATAGTTGTTGACTTATTGACAGTGAAAATAAAAAATGAAAATTTGTTACTGTTCATATGGTAGTAATTTCTTCAAATCGATGCAATCGGATTATCGTTTTGTGATGTGATGTGACTGAATTTTCTACCCTTGACTGCTACTGATTGATTTCGGCATGATGATGAAAGCTGACTTAGTAGTTTCTTCAAAGTTCCCTTCTTTTTCTTTTTAAATTTTTCTTTAACCTTGTTTGCTCATTGATTGGAGCTAACGGAAGATTTGGTGCAAAACGGAATGCAGTGGCGTTCTAGGATTTATACAACTGACCCCATTTAGTGAGATAATGCGCAGTGGCGTTCTAGGATTTATACAACTGACCCCATTTAGTGAGATAATGCTTTGTTGTTGTTGTCTTGTTTGTTCATTGAATTTGCTTTTGGGAGGTTTCTAAGCACCAACTGCAGTTTCAAAGATTGTTTGTTGAATGGTTTGTAATTGTGTGGCTCAACAAAGGAAATTATAAATCGACAGAACTATTTGTTCCTTTCCTTTTCAGGGATTAGAATGTGTTTCTCTTTCCTTTTTTTCTTGTTGTTCATAACCTGTTAACCTTTGCTGACTAACAATATTCATTCGCAACTTGGACTCGAAAACAGAATTCTCAAATCAATATTGTCATTCAAGTTCCCTGATCGCTAGGTAGCAGAATAGCACATTAATTCTTCTGAATTAACTACGATGCCTCTTCACGAATTACATATACTGCGGATTTGCAAAATGTACTTGGACATATTGTATGCAGAATGTGTCTACATCTCTGTCATGAGTTTCACATTTAGGAGGTTTGATTTGACCTATGTAACGGAAGGTAGAAGAATATGGTTCCTATTTCAACATAAAGTTTTCTCTCATCTTCATCATCATCATCATCATCATCATCGTCATCATCTTATTTAACCTGATTTTGTTCTTCCCATTTCAATTTTCAATTGTGTTCATTCTGTCTAATATAGTACGATTTTTCAATGTCAAATCTGTAGCTCAAATAAATCATCCAGTGCTTAGTTCATTTGAACTTATTTCTGTCTTTCGTACTATTGTGTTCGGATCAAGTTTAATCAAGAGCTGTATTGAATATCACATCACACAGGTATTTATCTGGGCGGAAGCAAGGTGGTCCATTTTAGACCCAAAATAAACTTGAACTCGAGCACTGAATCATCATCTGGTGTTTATGATTCAATGTCCTGTCCCACCACTCCTGACTGTGGATTCCGGCAACCCAACAGTGGCGTTGTCCTCTCATGCCTGGACTGCTTCCTAAAAAATGGATCCCTTTACTGCTTCGAATATGGGGTTAGCCCTTCGGTTTTCCTTGCAAAAGTACGGGGTGGCACATGCACAACTGCAGCATCCGACCCATCAGAAACGGTTGTCCACCGCGCGATGTATCTTCTTCAAAATGGATTTGGCAACTACGATATATTTCGAAATAACTGCGAGGACTTTGCTATGTATTGCAAAACCGGTCTCTTGATAATAGACAAGGAAGGCGTGGGAAGAAGTGGTCAAGCTTCTTCTGTTATTGGTGCCCCATTGGCAGCCATTCTTTCTTCTCCTCTGAAGTTGTTGATGCCCAGCCCGGTTGGTGTGGCTACCGTAACTGCTGGGATGTACTGTATGAGCAGGTATGCAACTGACATTGGCGTTCGAACTGATGTGATCAAGGTGGCCGTGGAGGATTTGGCCGTGAACTTGGGTTGGGGCAGCGACCATGAGGAGGAAGTGACCGAGGACGATGATTCCGATTCCCCTATTACACAGATTACCAGGTGATGTGAACATGGTTCTTGTGCAAGTCAAGTACCGTGGAATTGCATATATAAAGTGGTAGTCAGTGTTGAATAAGCATTTCTCGACGTTAATGACTGAAGTACTGATGTGGGTTTTACAACTCATTTGTAACCGTCACATAATCGTGTTTTCTAATTCATGCATGGAAGGAATACAAACAGTACTTATCTGGTGTTCGTAATCATTGGTTCTATCCAATTTTTCACTTCAAAATAGTCATCTTGCACTCTTCCTTCCGTTGTATTTTTAAATTGGAAAAGAAAGAAAATAAATTTCAACCAAATTGAGAATGTTTCAAGCTTCCTTCTCTTTGAAGTACTCCAACACATATCCTGCTAAATATTGTCATTACTAATACAAATGAAAATGATAATTAGGGTTCGTCTAGGACTGTTTTCGTAAATCCAAATGCTATTCGTAAAAGCACTTGGGAGTGCTTCTTTAAGAAGAATCCAGCAGGTGCTTGTCCATAAAACGCTTCTATGACAAATAGCACTATTAATTTTTTTTAACCAAATGCTGTCATGAAACACTTTTAGTTGGTAGAAGACGTTTTTAGCCCTTCCAGAAGCAGCCTGAAACAGGCCATCTAAATATTGTAATTAGAGATATATACCATCCAAGGAATCAGCCAGTTTCTCGAGGTTGCTATGGATCAAACAGTGGAGCTGCTGACCAGCCCAGTTGGGATAAAAGTGCATGCTAATTAGAACGCAGAAGAAGGTCCCAATGCCAACGGTGAACTGTCTATGGTAAGTTAATAACTCGGACAACTGAAGGTGAGGATGAAGATGAGAGCACCATAATCTAATCGTGATTTGACAGACAGGATGAACCGAGAAAAGGTTGTTGCTGAAGCTGCAAAAATGAACTCCAAGTATTGTTTTAAAATGCAAATTAAGCTCAAGCGAAACACCAACGAAATGATTATGAATCCGAAATTTAGAACAATGCTCACATCTTGGAGGAAAACTGAGGCTCCAATAAATATGGGCTCAAAGTTTTCTCCTGCCTTGCAAGAACTCCAGTGGACACCCAAGCCAAGTGATCCAGCAAGAGAAGTTCCCGCTGCTCTATTTATGCTTTTATAGAGTGTAGCACCTGCAATGAAATGGTCAATTGGTTACTTTTATTCACTTTAACTTGATACTGTGGAAAACTTTGTGCGGGAAGGGAAGTGATTTCCGCATATCTCTTTTCTCCTGCTGCACACCTCTTTTTCTTTTTGGCCTTCGAATTAAACAAATCGAAGGACAATCGAAGGACAAAAATAAAGAGAGGTGGACCGAACATCAGTTTCCATTTGGTAATCAACAAATTTGGTTTTTTTGACGGTTTTAATCAGCTACAGTTGATTCGAAAACTACCACAACAGTCATATAACAGCCCACATTGCATTCCCTCCTAGACCTTCATGCAAAGACCTCATGTAGTAAAAAAGTAACACAACTGAAATAGCCAACCCTACTTTGAGAGCATGGATCACCTTTCTCAGCTCAGCAACTCCCAACTTCCATGCCTTCACTAAAAACCACCAAACTTTCATCACCAATCCTCCAACCGCACCCTTCAACCCTAGCAACGTCGCCGTATCGACTAGTCCCGATGTATTTTTCGTCCCATCGGCTACATTGATACTCCACTCCACATTCCCTAACACATCCTTTTCACTTACCATGTTGGCCAGGGCTCACAAGAACAACGATATTAGGGCAGTTTAGATCGGACTAATCGAAGCTCTTAGCCAACTGGTTTGCCTCAATGTACGTGTTAAGCTTCATGTGCCTTATCTATTTATTCACCAGAAATTTCAATTCCTTGAGCAGACAGATTAATGCTCTAAGAGAAAGCACTGAAAACACAACAATGGCCTAAATTTTGGTAAGCATTTGCTAATATCATCATCTCCGTTAAGCTTAACTTAATGGTTTCGAATTAACAATGTTCGGTGCTGTTATCTTGTTAGACAAGTCATAAGTGGATAATATGTTTAAGCTTTTAAATTGAGGAGATGCACATGCACTTAATCATTAGGGTTTGGATCATCATAACCTAAATCCCTAAAAAGCATGACCTACTTGTGCACGTACTATTACAGGATTAATATTTTAGTTGGTCCATTACATCATTAGACGCATTACCAAAGGGAACCAAGGTACATATAATTTTTCATATCTTCAGCTTTTAGATTGTTTAAGAAATAGAGGCCAAGAGCAATGCATGTCATCTTTGATTCAAGTATTCATATAGCTTTTTTATTTTTTTTATTTTTTATGTCTGAATCGTCTTTAATCAACTAATTCTTAGCCTAATAGTATTTCATCTCTTAGTACTAAAAGAGGTATCAAGTTCAGTTCCATCACCTGATAAAGAATTAAAATATAGATTTTTCTATATGTTAGTGTTACATCAACGTGCCAAAATGTCGTGGCATTCAACTTTAATTTGTTGCCACAATCTCCTTGGGCTGTAATATTATTCTACATGTTAAGTACTTTTCCCTCTTCCTTTTCATCTAGTAAGAAAACTATTCCGTTCATACAACAGAGACAGAGACAATTTGGTTGACGTGGAATTTTACTGAAATACGTATTTATGGAGTGAAAGTTATACCATTACTTGTTGGTTAAGAAATATTAGTCAATGGAACAGAATCAATTCCACAAGTCAACTCACAAAACAATATTTTCCTCCCAAAAATGTTCCTACCTACTTATACCAAGAGACACGATGAACTAAAATTCAAAACTAAAGTATAACAAACCGGCTGAAATGTTGTACTTGTCAAAGTCATGAATCATGCCTGAACTGCCCAATTGATAATGGGTTGAAATGTGCTGCACGTGCAATGAGATTTGTATCTACATCACATGGGCTAATGGGAGGCTTGAACTGGCCATTTGATTCGTTAAACTGTTTTTACTCAAGTTTTTTTCTTTATGTTAAAAGAACTTTGTATCTACTTGGTTGAATAACCTTAAACCTGAAATGCATTTTGGTTTGTAATACTACGCACTTAATGACCATATTGGCGGAGACGGGAGCATTCCACCTCCACCCTAATAGCCGAGTTCGCGGAGATGGCCGGGATAGAAGAAAACTTGACATCCCTACTTGTTAGCTGCCTATGGTTGAAAATTTGAAATGGTCCTTCACCTTGGGCTGCACTTTGGTTGGTAATACTATGTACTTGTTAATAGTATGTACCTGCCTACCTGGATTGAAGCTAAACTGTATACTTGCCAAGCAAAAACAGTAGAAGGAAAATTATGAACTCCATGCACAAAAGGTTGAGCCAACCACAACCGACCCATGCCTAATATCCACTTTGAATCAAACCCTAGTTAATTGGCATGAGCTGAGCCTTAGCCCTTGTCTTTATCAATTATTAATATTATTTGGACAACACTTTCATGATTTGATTGTGAGTCCGTGACACAGACTTCACATTAGCCAACTTCCAACAAACTCTCTGGATTGTGAAAGTTACAGAGCTCGTTTTTAAGGAGAGCGCTGGATTCTTTTTGTGAATATCCAAAAAATCTTTCAATTATATTCGTTTATCATACATCGTGCGGTTAGTTTTTGTCAGATACTGTTTATATTCAATTTTAAATAAAAAAATTTACAATGATTTCTGATCGCACGTTGTACAATGAACGAATGTGATTTAAAGATTTCCGAGATCCTCATAAAGAGGATCCGGCGAGGATCCTCACTCGTTTTTAAGTGTATTGATCTGAAATATGTATGGTGATTATGGTTGGCTTGGCTTACCATTTCTTTCATTCGTGTATTCTTGATTTGAGGAGCCGACGTATATCATTAATATTTCATTGTTGTATCAAAATTATTGTTCAATAGTTTAACTGTAACTTAGTGATTTTTTTTTCAAATTTTATTATCTAAAATTAAATAGTTTGGATCGTGAAAAAACATTGTGTAGTGATTAGCGTTTTATTAACAATTGAGCGCTATTGTGTTCTGATATTTTTTTTGGAATTTACATAAATTTTACCATGGCAGCCATTAGTAAATAAAAAAATTCAATGATTTTTTCATCTCAAGCCTACTAAAGATACATGGTCTAATTTAGTAAAGAAATTTGTAAATTCAAAATAAATCAACTTAACTAGTAAACAAATTTAAAAGAGGATCCCAAAAAATAAATATTTTTTTCTTATCAAGCACAAAAATTTAGCCTTATGTGATTCACCGGAACGGCGTCGTTTAGCCCTGTAAATATCAGTATTTCCCCTCCATTTTGTAATAATCCTCCGTCAATAAAAAGCAAATCAGAGTGCTCCGGTTTTCGGGTTTTGGATTTTCGAAACCATCAAGCACCCAAAAGACGACCAAATTTCAATCCAATACGCAGATTCAAATCCAGCTTATCCCCAAATCAAAACCCACCAAATTCCACAAGTTTTAGGCCAAAAGGGTCGCCGAATCAAAACCCAGAATCCGAAATTTTGGATGGCGAGTCTGTATGTGAAAGCTGTGCCACCTGCGGATCTGAATAGGAACACAGAGTGGTTCATGTACCCTGGTGTTTGGACCACCTATATCCTCATCCTCTTCTTCTCTTGGCTTCTCGTGCTCTCAATCTTTGGCTGCTCTCCCGGCATGGCTTGGACCATAGTCAATCTCTCTCATTTTGCGGTATCTTTCTCTCTCTCCTCTCTTTCTCTCTCCATGTGATTTTTGGTGTGCAGGTGTGGTTTTTGCTGGTTTGTCTTTCTGGGTTTGATTGATTGGTATTGTTTTCAATTGGGTTTGTGGAATATTTTATGTTTGTTGATTAGAGGCTGTTGGATTTGATGCTTATTCATTCAAGTAATTGCATTTAGTTGAATTTTGTACGAAAGTATGAAACCCATGTTGTAATTATTCAGCTCAATGATGATACCTTGTGTTTCCACATGTGTGATTAGGTGCAGCTTTCATAATTCTACATGGGCTATATATTTCGATGTTTAATGGGGGCGTTTCATGTAGTTATCAGTTCATGTGAGATATTCTGTAGAGGGGGGGGGGACCTAGTTTGTGAATTTCTTGATTTAAGATAGGATTTGCTTCAGTTTATATCCTGTAATAGAGGGTATGAGCTGGATGTTGGAGTCGTCGTTGGTTTAGCTTAGAAAACGAGGTTAATCATGTGAAGCCTTATGGCGTGGATATAATAATTCACTATTTAA